AGAGAGAGAGAGAGAGAGAGAGAGAGAGACAGAGAGAGAGCAATAAATATAAAGATTTATGATTCTGGTGGTGGGTCTGTAAATTCAAATTATTTTCAAGTGTTTTAACCACTTAATATTTAGTAATTTAGTGAAACAAAATGCTGTTGGACACTGGTTTTTATTTATATAATATACACACGAGATGCATTTGTTATCTGTTGTATGGACGCATTTATTCCAGTAGAAGCCAGAGAGCTGATTATTAATTATGCACAGTATGCAACTTTGAGATGTATCTGTTATTGATGTTTGGCTACATTTATTTCAATAAAAAGCAACATTACAAATAATACTGCAGAATTCACAAACACAAATGGCAATAAATAACTGCACAGTGAATGGTACACTGTAAATATTAGCTCTGATTCTTCCATCTTTTCTCTCTGCTGCTTAGCTCTCTTGTGCTGCTGGAGGGTTTTGCTCAGGATGAAGGCCTTGGAGCAGAGTCTCTCGCCGCTGTGGAAGCATCTGTGTCTCCTCAGGGTTCGCTTGTAGATCCAGATTCAGTCACAAACGCTGCAGACGTGGAATCGCTTGGACTGCCTCTGCAGTATCTCAGGCCTCTGGAGTTGCACAGAACAGGGTCGGACAGATGTAAGTCCTCCACGTTTACGAGACGGCTCGGTGTTATCTGACTCCGCACAGAGCTAAAATATGATTGAAAAGCCTCTTCTGGTTCAGCGCTTCAGGATCGATGACTGTGTTATTGCATTCAAAGCTCATTAACAGCTGGGAATCTCCAGATGTTACTCCGACTTCAATGTGCTGTGAAAGAAACGTATGGTTTTCTCTATGTGCATTCAATCAATGCCACTGTTTATGATTAATGTTGTTAATCTCACATGTTGTGCATTGAAGACTCAGATACATTGCCCTTTTATTTATTATTGTATTCTATCTTGCTGTGGTGCTTCTAATGTAATCCACAAACGACTTATGAATAATGGCTCTTTCTGTAGTCAATGTCAGCAGTCCTGGGAAAGTTTAGGGAGTCAGTTAAATATATGTGCATGCGTCAGGTGGGAGTACTATGTGCTGTTGAGAAGAAGCTGTTTAACAGATCAGGACAAACTAGAAACTCAACCATCAAACAAGATGAACAGGACAAACAAGACACTCATGAACAAGCATCACAAAACATACAAACACTCCAGTTACTGACGCAAGATGACCAAACGTCTGCCACAGTACACTTTTCAATTAATGTAGTTAAATCAAGTATATTTAGGTTTATAACGGGTCTGGTTATCACCTTATTGATGAACAGGAATTGTAGTTTGCGAGCTACAAATCAAGCCGATCTCAAGAAAATGCGTATCAATAGCATGCTTTTGGGTTTCTATTTGGCATAATCACAAGACGTTGTTAAAAAAAAAATATATATATATATATATATTCTCTTCGATAACAATTTTGAGGCTAATTTTGTATTTGATTATCTAAATGGATAATTCATCATAACAATTGTTGTCATTTACTGAATGGTATAATAATTATGTCAAGACAAACTTTAAGTTGGCTTGAGAAAGCCGGACCAGAAAGTTTGAAACAAACACACACCGCGATTAAACGTGCTCTGACAGACGCAAGCCGTGATGGCGTGTGACGCAGCAGCCTGATACGCTGGTCACGTGATATCAAACGACTCTTCTGATTGGTTAAAGTCATTAGTCAGCGCTGCTGCATGCGTAGCCAGAACACGACTGGCATATTATTAATAAGTTCAGTTAAATACGGCGCCTGAAAAAAATATTAATTCTGCTTTTAAACAAACGTGCATGTTACCGTATGGTGTCATAACTGACAGCAGTTTAAGAGCTGGTCTGCGGGAAAGCAAGAGAGTGTGCGGATCAGGCGCTGAACGCGGCTCTTCTCAATCAGAGGAACATCAGAAGAATCAACCGGAGGCTTCACAGCTCAACGAGTCTCAGGTTTGTGCGGCTATAAGCGCTTATAGATGATGCACAGATGCTTGTGCACGCGTGGCATTAGTTTATGCGTCTCTGAAGGCCAGCAGCTCTCAACTCAACAAGTGGATCAAAGCAAATCTGTCCAGAATCTGCCAGAAAGCTAATTCAGTGTAAGCGGCTGCATGCGGGTCAGTGCTAGCGTCGGGTGATACAGCGAGCAGGGCTTGTCAGGCTCGGTTCTGCTTTGTTTGAGTTAAACTAAAGCATGTTCTCCGAGTGTCTAGAACACGAGGGAAGCACAGAACAGCGTGTTATTGTGAAGGTTTGTGATCTGCATTGTGCTGCTGTCAGGTCTGTGTTTGTGAACTGGGTCACTTTGCCGTTTTAGGCAGTACAGCTCAAACAAAGCTGTGACATGTTCACAAACCCGCCTCGACATCGTCTGTGATGCTGAAGCTGATAGTTGTGTTCCTGATGTTGCTCTCTGCTCGCTTTCTCTCTCGGTTTCTTCACGTGCTGCTGAAGTGAGCTCTGCCTGAAACCTGCATCATATTCATCTCATGTTTAATTCAGTCTTGTTGTTGTTGTTGTTGTTGTTGTTGTTGTTGTTGTTGTTGTTGTTGTTGTTGTTGTTGTTGTTGTTGTTGTTGTTGTTGTTGTTGTTGTTGTTGTTGTTGTTGTTGTTGTTGTTGTTGTTGTTGTTGTTGTTGTTGTATTCAGTCTATTCAGTCTTCTTGTTGTTGTTGTTGTTGTTGTTGTTGTTGTTGTTGTTGTTGTTGTTGTTGTTGTTGTTGTGCTGCTTTGAGAAATCTCCATGTGTTGTGTCTCGAGTCTCTAACACACTCACCTTTCTTTGCTGGGAAAGACAGCAATATTGAACATTTCATGTGTTAAGTTCTTACACTTGATTCAGACCTCACTGAACTGAAATGACTTGAAACAAGTTTTTTCAGCAGCAGATCAGCAAATGTCATGCAGCACTAACACCAATTGTATCAACCGACTGTTGGTGCTTGGGCTCTAATGATGGTCACTTGCAGTAACTTTGGTAACGCTTTATTTTAATAGTCCACTTTAGGTGTTCTGCTGCCTGTAAGTAACTGTGCAGCTAAACCAGCAGTCGCTCGAGTATCAGTAGACCGTCTGCTTAATATCTGCTGACACGTTATTTTGATGGTCGCTCAACAGACGTCCTACTGACTATAATTATCTTTGCAAGTACGGCAGCTTATTCTACTAACCCTAACCTAACAGTCTACAAATGCTCTGATGAGAGTTAGTTGACATGTAGTTGCAAAGTTACTTACAGTTAGTAGACCGTCTAAAGCGGACCAACGAATAAAGTGCAACCGCAACTTTCTGTTGTTGTCAGTATTTCTGATCTCTCTTTATAATGTTCAGTCTTATTATGTAAAACAATTGGATCGTCTTCAACTGCAAGATATCATTGCAATTGTTTGTTTGTGTGTTTTTATATGAAGAGGTTTTTGTTTTTTTTTTGTTTTAAATTTTTTTTTATTAGATATGGGGTTTGTTTTAAAATTTCAATGTAGTTTTGTTATTTGACATATTTCTGTTTCACAAAGAAATGTGCAGCATTTTGTCAAAGAAATAATAAAAGGATACCTTTTCATTTATAATTTGTCTTAAATCTAATTTTGTTTTAAAAAATCGTGAAATCAGTATCGCGAATCGAATCGAATCATGAGTTGAGTGAATCGTTGCATCCCTACACAAATTCATTAGTAAACCCCTTTGTGAGCGTTTTCTCTATAAAACTGCAGTGTGCCAAAGACAGTCTCAACAATGCTGTTTGAAATATCCAGTTTCCTACCGTCACGAACATGTAGCCGATCCTGTCGAACTTGCATTATCAAGTTAATATCTCAATATCGTTAGCTGGTGAACGGGAACATGGTTTGTGTAACATTAGCAATCATTATTAGCAGTTTGATAATGTAATCTGGAGATTTAGAGAGCGATACATTCATTCTTATTCATCTTACTCTTCTTCTTCAGAATAAACTTCTGGATCAAACATATATGGCTGAATTACTCAAGTACTGGTGCTTGCCGTTGTGTAGCATTTACTACTTCAGCTAACGAAGTCAAAGTGGAGCAGGTTGTCTGAGCTGCTGTAACTGAGTGGAAGCAGGGACTAATTTGTGTATGCATGGTTATATTTATAGTTACAGTTATTTTCAGCCCATTTTAATAAACTTTCCTCATTTATTTGATGAAGTGCAGTGCTCTTCAAGATGGTGGTGGGGATTCTCTGAAGGGAAGTTTGCGAGTGTGTGTCTAAAAGCGAAGTGAAACAAACCTCAAGTTTTGCATGGCCAGTCAGATGTGAGAACTCTTGCTCTCTCTGTCTCTGATCTCTGTTGTTTTCTCTAGGCCTATCTTGACATTCAGCTGCACAAGACGAACAGAAAGATCCTTAAGGCAGAAAAAAATCGACTGGAACAAAAGGAGATTGAACGGCACAGCAAGGTGAAGTTAGTTCTGTGGCATTCGTTTCTTTTACAGACTAAACACTCTGTCCTTCACGTTCTGTTTAATGTTCATGAAGTTTTTAGTTTTACAAAAATGCTGATCTCTTCAAGGCCTACCGGGACGACACAGACCAACACCTGAATGCTTTCCGAGAGACGTCTATTGCACATCTGGATGCTTTTCTGTGCTCGCTGCGTGACTGTATCAGCACTCATCACGGTGAGCAATGTTCGGGAATCCAGCAGAACCTGAGTCGAATAGCGCAGGATCAAACCCGTCTGCAAGACGTTCACTCGGGCTTTGAGAGGCTTCTACAGGAGAGCGACACTTTCCAATTCATCAAGGTACATTTTACACACCGATACTGAATTCTTAAAATGATCTGTGACTGTTCTTGACCGAAACCTAAACTCTTTTGTTGTCGGACTGAAAGAAAGACAGTGGTTGTAGTAACTCTAGACGTTTGACTGTCAGCATGAAGTCTGGTCCACTTTGCAGTTTATTCTGGCTCAGAACTGACCTCTTAAAAGGGAAAATGGAAAGCAACCAACTACAGTTTTAGTTTTTGCATAACAATTTAGGGTCAGGTTTATCTGAAATGGTTCATACAACAATAGTAGACCGATGTGATGGGAAGGGAAAAAAAAGTAAATCTGCAAATGGCTCTACAGAAAACACTGAAGATGTAGTTAACTCCAAAAGCAAAGGCTGCGTTTACACTGGTACTAAAAACTGATTTTATACACGACACAGATCGGAAATTTTTGCAAAAGCATAAACATCTGTTTATGATCCTAATTTTTTTTTTTTGTAGTATTCATTCTGAGCAAGTGTTGTTTTTTTTATCATATATACCTGATATCTGAACATCTGACCTGCGTCTAAAAACGTAAATCTGCTTCCCATTGGAATCGACTCTTCACAAAGACCTGACAGATCGCTGTAGTGCCTCAGTTCAAGCGCAAACCGATCATCTCTTCCTCTTTACTACTAGTTATAGCACAAAATAAACATGAATGAACAACAGAAGATATCTTGTTTCAAATGTGGAAAGACATCAATACACACCATTTTTCAACTTCAAGTCCACCGACGTTAATCGACTCTTCTGTCTGGTTTGTTTGTCGGACAAAATGGCAGATTCTGTGTTATGATTGGTCAGATCACCTGTCAATCAAACTCCCGGCGAAGGGTTAATTCCAATCCACAACAAGGCAAAGGAGACACATTTGCCCACAAACATAACTTTTCTTAATATCAAATTATGAAACAGATGTTTCTTGTATAACTTGCACAAATCCAGCTTATTTTACTGAGGCAGAAACTTTATTTATAGGTAAGATAAAGCCCACTCACAGAAACATTCAGGAGCACAGAAACATGTTTTAAGCCGCAGCTCCATTAATTTTTAATAAGTAAAATATATTCGCTGCTTAATCTACAATATAAATTTTTGCTGGATATGTTTTAATCTTACCACATTAAATTATTTCACTTCAGAATTCTATATCTAATGACCTGTAGATAAAATCAGAACGGAAATTTTTGCAAAAGCATAAGCATCTGTTTATGATCCTAATTTTTTTTTTTTGTAGTATTCATTCTGAGCAAGTGTTGTTTTTTTTATCATATATACCTGATATCTGAACATCTGACCTGCGTCTAAAAACGTAAATCTGCTTCCCATTGGAATCGACTCTTCACAAAGACCTGACAGACCTCTGTTTTTCCCTGATGCGCTCACAGTCGACACGGAGCCGCTGTTTGAAACGATGGAAGGAAAGATGGGCGAGTTCATTGCTGAATTGCGGCAGCACACCGACACACTCCTCAGCACCGTCTGTGAGTCTGAGACCCGCTCATACGGTCTCTTTTCATTAGACACAGTTCCCAGGCTGTTCTACAGTCTTATATATGAATGAACACCGGAAACTTCAGGCCGCTGCGAGTCTCTCCGTCTCAACAGCACAATACAAACAGTGTGACTCAAACACGCTGTGCCTGTCGAGTGAGAGAACGCTAGCAAGTGTCTGAAGATGAAGTCTCAGGTTCTGCTTCCTAATAAAGTGAATATCTGACCGGGATTGTTATATGTACAGCCGGCGTCTCGCTAATTATCACAGAGATGTGGACGCTTCTGATTGCGTGTTTTCACAGACTAAACCCATAAACCCGTGTGTGATTGGACACCTCGAAGTATCACGAGCGGAACGAGGGCCAATCACAGGCGGTGAAATAGCCCCGCCCACCGCTCTGTGTTTGAACGACATCAGCCCACGTGACTAAGTTTCCTTTGTTTCAATTCCCGCTCTTTTTGTTTTGTTATATTCTATACAAAACAAATCCGTCTTAAATATCACAGCATAAATATCAAACAGTGTAATTTGTATATATATATAAATTGGAGATAATTTGGAGAAAGGAGAGCAATACCGATTAGACACTTTCTTTATTCTCTTCTGTTGTTCTGCCAATTTAATTTATAATTTATAAACCACTTTAATCCAAAGGAAGGCTAAACAAGCAAAAGAAAATGACAGGCAAGAAAATAAAAGGATAATCTCATTGTGTGCGCCTCTGACAGCAATATATAACTTTATGCGAGCTCTAAATTTGTATCAGAATAAACGTCAGAATGAGAGAGCTTTATTGCCAGGTGTTTATACACACGATACATTTGTTTTGGTGACAAAACCTTCTACAGCACAAAGGGAACGAGTGATAAAACAAATAAAAAAAATAAATAAAAAAAAACGGAATAACTCCATAAGTAGTTATCGGCTCAAAGACACGAGTAAACTCATATTCCCAGATAATTATACACATCAGCAGTAAGCTTCAGTTTTCAGAAAGAGTTGATCCACAAGCAGTTTGTTGTTAATTTTCACTTCGACTTGGTCTCTTTCTGTGAGGGTGTGGGTGGCTCTTAAAAGAGCCGTTGGGTTCGTGGTTTAAAGGCGTTTATCCTCCGAAGCCGTACAAGGTGCGTCCCTGTCGCTTCAGCGCGTACACCACGTCCATGGCGGTGACGGTCTTTCTCTTAGCGTGCTCGGTGTAGGTGACTGCGTCCCGGATCACGTTCTCCAGGAACACCTTCAGCACCCCGCGGGTCTCCTCGTAGATCAGACCGGAAATGCGCTTGACGCCACCGCGGCGCGCCAGACGGCGAATAGCGGGTTTGGTGATTCCCTGTATGTTGTCGCGCAGCACTTTACGGTGCCGCTTAGCGCCTCCTTTCCCGAGTCCTTTACCGCCTTTGCCTCTTCCAGACATGCTGAAGATACTTTTTGCTTCAGTCTCGCGACTAACACGAATAACAGTCAAGAACTCCAGGGAGGTATTTTAGCGCCTCCTTTCCCGAGTCCTTTACCGCCTTTGCCTCTTCCAGACATGCTGCAAATACTTCTTGCTTCGGTCTGGCGACGAACACAAACAAAAAACGAGAGCTCCACGGACGTGTTTTACATTTGCTTACAGGACCTAAGTGAAACCAGCGCGCGTCACATGGCGCACCCCTCCCCCGCTAGTTAGAGCAGGACACAATGAGGTTTAATCCAAACCTGATCTAACGATGTCTGTCCTGTGTTTCATATTAAAATCCATGTTTTAAGATTAGTTTGACAGATGATTTGTAAGATCATATCTACATATTTACATGTATGCATTTGGCAGACGTTTTTATTAACCAAAGCGACTTACAGATCATCATCATCTAGAGCCGCGCTTCTACCATTTGTTTACTCAGAAATGCTAATCAGCACATGGTTAGCTAGCACAGTTCTGAACATTGTACACATATAAAAACTATATGATATGAAATAACACACAGAAAAGGTGCTTAATTGTAGAAAAAAATGTGTTAGGTAGTGACTTTCCTTAACGTTACACACAGATTGTCAGACTTTTGAGCACATTTATCTCAAAATGATGAGACCAATCTACTCACTATGTAGCTGTGAGAGAAAGACAGGAATAATTCCTCATCATTAATGTAGAGCTGTACTTAAAATCATTCTCAGTCAATTAACTAAAACTAAAACATACATGAAAATACAGGGCAAAATTTTATTTCATCGTTTACAAAGAATATATATATATATATATAATCACAAATAAATGTTTAAAAACAACAATGGAATGAAATGGAAAACATATTTCAATATAATTTTCATAAGTAGAAATTTAGGGCTCAGGACAACCACCTCGCAATTGAAAGCACCCAAAAATGATGATATATATATATATATATACACACATGTATATAAAGCTTAGATATTTTAAATATTGTGGGTTTCAATAGATAATAAAAGGATATTCGTAAACATCTAAGATTTGAATACTTAAATGCATTTTAAATGTCTGTTGATTGTGGGACAGCAGTTTCCACCAATTCTGTAGAATGGCCCTTATATAGTTGCACTTGACTAATATATTCATAAGCGTTTTAGGAGAAAGTTCATTGTATTTATTTTAATCAGTTTGTCATTGAGAAACCAAAAAAAAAAAATGATTAAAGTGGCATATGTGTGTTGTTTTCCTCAGTGTGTGTCCTTTACAAGAGAATTAAAGCTTAATAAAAAAACAAGGAAAAACGCAAGACTAAATGCATTAAGCTTGTGAGCACTGTACTGCACTTGCTATTCGTAATATTAAGCGTTACTGTAGAAACTCTCATTCAGTGTGGTTGTGGCGGCTCTTAAAAGAGCCTTTGGGGTGTAACGCGGCTGCTGCAGCGGCGGGGTTAAGCGCGCTCTCCGCGGATGCGGCGGGCCAGCTGGATGTCTTTGGGCATGATGGTGACTCTCTTGGCGTGGATGGCGCACAGGTTGGTGTCCTCAAACAGACCGACCAAATAAGCCTCGCTGGCCTCCTGCAGGGCCATGACGGCGGAGCTCTGGAAGCGCAGGTCCGTCTTGAAATCCTGAGCGATTTCTCGCACCAGACGCTGGAAAGGCAGTTTGCGGATCAGCAGCTCGGTGGCTTCCGGGCGGCTTTAGTAGCGAGCTGCTTCCTCGGGGCTTTGCCACCGGTGGACTAACGAGCGGTCTGCTTGGTTCTTGCCATTATAGCAGCCTAATTGCTTTAAGCTATGAGCTGTGAAAATAACAATCTCTGCAACACAGCTGCTTTTAAAGCGTCTCAGGATGGCGTCGGGGTGCAGAAGCTTGTGATTGGCTGATGTGTGACGTCTGCACACGACGGCTCTTTTAAGAGCCACCCACTAACTCTAAAGAAAGAGCAATTCACTTTGTGGAAGTAAGGTTAGGTTAAGAAACAACTAATTTGTACCACCATTGTACTTTAAAAACAACATAATAAATAAATCAACAGACACAATCCATCAGCAACTCATTCAGCAGCGTTGTAAACTGCTGGCAACAATTAATAACTGAGCAATGAATACAACACAATTATTTCATATACACATTACACACAGCAGTAGGGATAAAATACCTTATAAATCGTTCTGTAGAACACAGGCTTTACTAATCTCCCACGAAATGAACACTGTAGTTGTAAAAATACCATCTAGTGTATGTCCTTCAAAGTACAAAATCAGTTTAAATTTTGCCCTTGTTCTCTTTTCCACAAAAACCTCAAGAGAATCTGGAGTAAAAGCAATAATTGATCCGGCCTTTCTGATCAGTTTATTAATCCCTATTTGTATCATCCACAGTGATATTAGCTCCCCAGCAGAGCACTGCATAGAACTGAAAACTGGTCAGAATTCCCTGATAGAAGACATAAGAAGCTTTCTACTAATACCAATGGAATTTAACGTTCTCAAAAATAATCATCTCGACTCGGTCTTCTTCAAGTTAAACTCACTGTTCATTTTCCACTTTAATTTACCGTCAGAATGGATGCCAGTATATTTGTAAGACTGAACTATTTCTGTCTTCTGACCATGGATTGTCACCGCTATTACTGCTTCCTTGTCTTCTGAAATCAATGATCAACTCATTAGTCTTCTCCAAATCAAATTAAATAAAATATAAAATAAAAATCACACCATGTAACAAAAAGCTGAACCTCTCTTCTATGGTCCAAATCATTATTTTGTTTGATTAGATCCACAAGTGCAGTGTCATCAGAAAATTGTGTAGACAGCAGGATGACCTAAAATCTTAACTATACGGTGCAAATAAAAAGGTGATAAGTTAAAATAGAAGAGTGTATCTGAGTTCTAATCACACCATATAACAACAAGCTGAAGCTCTCTTCTATTGTCCAAATCATTATTTTGTTTGATTAGAGCCACAAGTTCAGTGTCATCAGAAAACTTTTGTAGACAGCAAGATGACGGAGTATGCCTACAATCAGAAGTATACGGTGCAAATAAAAAAGCTGACAAAAAGTTAAAATAGAAGAGTGTATCTGAGTTTACCTCGACTCAGTGTTTTACATGTTGACTGTGTATTTAGAAAAGCCACAAAGTAATACACATAAATTAATATTAACAGCTTTAATGGATCATTGATCTAAATTTAATTAGTTTAAAAACTATTTATAAATGCTTTTTGCCTTGACAATTATTTTGAAATACTTGAACACCCCGCCACAAGTTCTTGAATGTTTTCTGTCGCGATGTTTCTTAACGCTGCACAATCAGACCGCCAGCTGTGGAGGCGTGGCTTCGGCGGTCAGTGTTGGAGGAAAGTTCAGTGATTGGTTTGAAATCTTACAGACTCTAAACCAATGGGCGACTCGCACGCTCTTTTAAAAACAGGAGAGCGGAATTATTAGGCTCATTATTTTGCTTGTATCAACGCAGAAATTGTTATTTTTGACAATGAGTGGAAGAGGCAAAACCGGTGGCAAGGCAAGAACGAAGGCAAAGAGTCGCTCCTCCAGAGCAGGGCTGCAGTTCCCCGTCGGTCGTGTTCACAGACTTCTTCGCAAAGGTAACTACGCACAGCGCGTCGGTGCCGGAGCTCCCGTTTATCTGGCGGCTGTGCTCGAGTATCTCACCGCCGAGATCCTGGAGTTGGCTGGAAACGCCGCCAGAGACAACAAGAAGACCCGCATCATTCCCCGTCACCTGCAGCTGGCGGTGCGCAATGATGAGGAGCTGAACAAACTCCTGGGCCGAGTGACCATCGCTCAGGGCGGCGTGCTGCCCAACATCCAGGCCGTGCTGCTGCCCAAGAAGAGCGAGAAACCGGCCAAAGCCAAGTAAACAGATTCTAGTCTGTTTCTGAAACCAAAGGCTCTTTTAAGAGCCACCAATTTTTTCTCTCAGAGTACTTTTCTTTAACTTCATTTCATCAGTAGCGTACATACCGCAAAAGCATTTAATAAAAAAATAACTAAATTAAACGTCAGTAAAGAATAAATGGACATTAGCCAACGCAATAACAGACGCGAGGCGAGCTGTGGCAGAGCTTATCAATGAGTGATCACATCACATTAACAAAATATGTTCTTTGGATGGTGTCTTTAGTGTATTTGTAATTTTATTCAGGTGGTAAGGTAATTTTGATGATATCGGATTAATGAATAGTTTAGAGCTATGGAATAAAATAACGCGAGTATGAAGCCTAAATTGGTGTGCTAGCGTGAAGTGTATTTGTGGTGATGCTTGAAGTACTAAACAAGAACGAAGCAATTTGAGCGGGAAACATAACCAGCTCCGTTTGAAAACAGGAGATGCGCAGTCATTGGCTAGCAGTCAAGCTCAGACTTCACACATCAGCCAATCACAAGCCTTTGCTCCTTTAAGACGCCATAAGCTGTGGCTGTATGAGGCTTTAAAAGCAGACGCGTAACATAGAGCTGCATATTCTACTTATGTAGAACAGACGTAGAAGTGGATCTCAGTGATGGCAAGAACCAAGCAGACCGCTCGTAAGTCCACCGGTGGCAAAGCCCCGAGGAAGCAGCTCGCTACTAAAGCTGCCCGGAAGAGCGCCCCAGCCACCGGCGGCGTCAAGAAGCCCCACCGTTACCGGCCCGGGACCGTGGCTCTCCGAGAGATCCGCCGCTATCAGAAGTCCACCGAGCTGCTGATCCGCAAACTGCCTTTCCAGCGTCTGGTGCGACGCTTAACCCCGCCGCCGCAGCAGCCGCGTTACACCCCAAAGGCTCTTTTAAGAGCCACCACAACCACACTGAGTGAGAGTTTCCGCTGTCCGAATATGAATAGAAATTAACGTTGCTTTCACCTTTTGAAGAAATTCTGTCTGGGACCGGATTTTATGAGTTTGAGTAGTTTTATTTTCCCATTACTAAGAATACGCAAACACATGCAAAACATAACCGACGTGTAACTGTTAATCACTTACTGTGTAATTAAATAGTTTGTGTAAGTAAAATATATATATATATATATATATATATATAATGCCGTGCTTATATGCATGTGTATATAATACAGCGACGTGTAAATGCATAAATATAAAGTTAATTTATTATAAACTCATTTTTAAACTGTCTCATGTCTCTTGTAATGTTTAATGTACAGGTACATCTACAAAAAAATGTATATAATATGAAAAAGGCCAATATTTTCTGTCACTCATTTCAGAAAGTGAAACCCGTATATTATGTAGATTAATTACACAGAGTGAAATATTTCAAGCCTTTATTTCTTGAAATTTTGATGATTATGCCTTACAGATAATGAAAACCCAAAATTCTGTTTTAGAAAATTAGAATATTGTGAAAAAGTTAAATATTGGAAAGTCATGGTGTCACACCCTAATCAACTAATTACCTCAAAACACCTGCAAAGGTTTCCTGAGCCTTTAAATGGTCTCTCAGTCTGGGTCAGTAGGCTACACAATCATGGGGAAGTCAAAAAAACCTAGAAATGATATACTCCAAAAACAAACCATACAGATGCATCTCAATAAATTAGAATGTCGTGGAAAAGTTCATTTATTTCAGTAATTCAACTCAAATTGTGAAACTCGTGTATTAAGTAAATTCAATGCACACAGACTGAAGCAGGTTAAGTCTTTGGTTCTTTTAATTGTGCTGATTTTGGCTCACATTTAACAAAAACCCACCAATTCACTATCTCAACAAATTAGAATATGGTGACATGCCAATCAGCTAATCAACTCAAAACACCTGCAAAGGTTTCCTGAGCCTTCAAAATGGTCTCTCAGTTTGGTTCACTAGGTTACACAATCATGGGGAAGACTGCTGATCTGACAGTTGTCCAGAAGACAATCATTGACACCCTTCACAAGGAGGGTAAGCCACAAACATTAATTGCCAAAGAAGCTGGCTGTTCACAGAGTGCTCTATCCAAGCATGTTAACAGAAAGTTGAGTGGAAGGAAAAAGTGTGGAAGAAAAAGATGCACAACCAACCGAGAGAACCGCAGCCTTACGAGGATTGTCAAGCAAAATCGATTCAAAAATTTGAGTGAACTTCACAAGGAATGAACTGAGGCTGGGGTCAAGGCATCAAAAGCCACCACACACAGACGTGTCAAGGAACTTAGCTACAGTTGTTGTATTCCTCTTGTTAAGCCACTC